AAGCCGTTTTTCCGGAGTTTTTCCGTCAATTTCTTGCATTTCCCCCCTTATGAACAACATATTTTGGTACACGATAAAAACTCCTCGTGGTTTGATCGATTTAAGTAACCATAAACGACGCAAAACATAGGCATTTTGAGTTTGTTATAGTGCTTTCTAAATACAGCAAATCACTTCCTGCCCTCCATTTGCATTTTGCGCCATGGCAACGCATTGGTGTGACGTCATATGAAAACAAGCTATAGGCTGGAGCTATGCAAATTTGCTACAAACCATAGGTTCATGCAGGAAGTAAGACTGGAATTGCCGGCGACTCGTTTCAGGCAGTTCAGAATCGATTCTTTCTTTTAGGAGACAATAACTCCATTAATCGTGCACTTTGATCTTTGAAACTTTGCAAACCTTTTACATTCACATAAAGCTATATTATACACTACATGAAATGTAATATCCAAAAAAGCATTTTAACACAAGGCAATTTCCAGCTGCCATCAGAATCACATTACACAGTACTAAATACATACTTGACAGAAAAATGCAGCTTATCATTCTCAAGGTAGTGAGTCTGAGTGAGAAATGAAGAGATTGATGATCAAATAGATGTTATTTCAGCACTGGTATTTATTGCCTTAGGATCAGTGGCATACAAATTAAGCAGAAAAAAATAACATGCATTTGAAATCCTCTCTACCCTTATTACAGTTAAGTGCATTTTGAATATCGCATTATATCGCTCCTCATTTAAAATATTCTTTTCTCCAACATACCGTGAGTTGAATAAAACCTTCCACCCATTTAAACAGCGAGAGCGTGTTCACATTGTCCACCCATTAGATGCGTTCTGACCCATGTGGGTCCACAAGCCATCAAACTAAAGACAACACAATTATATTTAATGCCCCACTGGGTATAAAAAGTCTGGATTCAACCCCTGTAGTCCATTGAGACAAAACATAAATGTCATTTAGTGTAGGACATTGAATGCACTAAAATGCCATTTAGTACGTGTCACCAAGCACACTCACATGAATTATGTTCAAAAGTCTCGTTCTCCAAAATGGGTGTTCTCAAGCTTTTGACATATACAAGAATGATTTAACATGCACTGCATTTACAATAGTACGCATTTCAGTATAAAGTGATGCCAAACATGGAAAAATACCGGGGAAAACTGTTTACAGATCTACGCTACATGTGTGTTTATTCAGCCCGTTCTCATCCTTTGGCGTCATACATGTGACGCTTTGGACATTTCGTTGAAATCTTACGCACATGGCATCCTTTAGCATCAATATGAGACGCAGAACCCAAGGCGTCATACAGGTGACGCTTGTCTAAATCCAACGCACATGGCATCGTTTAGCATGAATATGAGACGCAGATCCCAAGGCGTCATAACCGTACCCTACCCCAGACCTAAACCTACCCATAACAGTGCGTGTTATATTGACGCTAAAGGATGCCATGTGCGTACGATTTCGACGAAATGTCATATGACGTCACCTAAATGACGCCAAAGGATGAGAATGCATTGGTTTATTACACGGCTCTCTGGAAAACTCGATTCTGATTGGCATCAGCTGTCAGATATTTCCTTTCACCTATTCGCTGTATGTATATTAGTCCGCCCATCCGAGTAAAGGTATGGTAACATTTATTGTCGCTCTGCAAATTTTAATGTGAAAAAATCTGTCATTTCAATAGGAATCCATGCGATCTGGAATTTTGTGTAAATGCGATCCCCTCGCAATGGGTTCAGTTGGTCACGCAAATTTTGTGTTAGTGGTGCTTCATTCATCTACTCTATTGAAATAATGATAGATTTGTTTTGCCTGTGAGGTAAGGTATTTTGTGGCAAATACACATGACCAACTTGAACCTCCAGTGAAATCTGGGTGGGGAAATCTTTCACCCTCATGCAAAACCAACACATTCTCATCCCAAGGCGTCATCTAACTGACACTTTTGACCATGCGTCAACATGCCGACGCACATGGTACCCTAAAAGCGTCAATATGAGACGCTCATCCTTGGGCGTCATCTAACTGACGCTTTTGACCATGCGTCAACATGCCGACGCACATGGTACCCTAAAAGCGTCAATATGAGACGCTCATCCTTGGGCGTCATCTAACTGACGCTTTTGACCATGCGTCTAAATCCGACGCACATGGCACCCTTTAGCGTCAGTTAGATTACACTTCCGTTATGGGTAGGTTTAGGTCTGGGGTAGGGTTAGGGTTAGAACACTAGGAGGTGCGTCTCATATTGACGCTTAAGGGGTACCATGTGCGTCGGCATGTTGACGCATGGTCAAAAGCGTCAGTTAGATGACGCCTTGGGATGAGAACGGGCTGGCAAAACACCATAGATATCCATAATAAAGGCTAGATGTCTTACGGCGAAGTCTCTATCGTCATCACCGGCGGCCATCTTGTCACAGGCAAGCTTTCTGGCGGGCTCTGTGGTTCATGATGTAAGATGAGTGATCAGCACGAACACAAATACTCTTATCTCGTTGAAATCTTGACGGATTTACAAACGGTTTGGTTTCTTACAAACGTTATTAACGTGGCTTTAATTCTGGATGATTATTTATTGATACACTTATTATTCATAAGTGTGCAGTGTCATAACTACATGTCTGACATTTATAACAAACCAAACCCTTTGAAAATCGGTAGAAAATTTAGCAAGTTATGGTTATTTAAAAAGTACATGCACCATTAAAACACAATGTTACGAGTGAGCGAGCTGCCTGTGACAAGATGGCCGCCAGGTCTGACGTCGACCTCCATTGGCCAGCAGCGCGGACGAGACATCTAGCCTTTATTATGGATATCTATGCAAAACACCCAAATCGCATGGATTCCAATTGAAATGAATGGATTTCAGAAATTGGCGAACAATGGTAAACCAGCGACACTTTCATGCAAACAAAACTTGCGCCATCTTGTGTCTTAGTTTTCAGTTGTAGTGAAAATTACATCAGATGACTTAAATAATAATAATAATGAACGATTATATATTTATATATTTGCAGAGTAGCTATGTAATATGGGAAACAATGTATCAGTCGGCCAGTCGTTTTCACAAAACAAACCCCTTCCTCTCCACATAGGGGTCCTGATCGCCCTATTAGGGTTTATGTAGTGACAACTGGTGGTTGATTTTACATCGCCCCTTATATATGGTCGCTTGTATGCAGTTAGTGTTTCGGTTGTGAGATATATCACTGAGAAACAGTATGTGCAATTTCAGTGTCTGACATTCGATAAGAACGAATCGCCCACTATTCTAAATCTAAATAAGTCTAACTTCTTTATTCTAATCTAAAAAAAACATGCAACTTGCAGCTGCAGTTTGAAAAGATTTCACATGATATAAAATTCATACAAATGCTCCACAATACAAACGGTTGCAATTCAAGACATAACTGAACCTGAAAATTCTCTTGGGCCAACAAAAAATATGAGCCAGATTAAATTATCAGTATTTACATATACTTAGAAAATAAAATAAATAAATAAAAGAGCACACAGGCAGGTTAACAGTTTAAGAGTTAATTTTAGTGCAATGCAAATGAGCTGGACTCTTCAGGGTTGTTTAGTGTAGTATTTCAGCAGTAGAGGAGTTCACAGAATTTCTCCATGTGCAAATGCAGTATCTGTTTAAAAGGATTGTCATAATAACTAAGGAAATGCTAACTCTGTTAAATGCAGAAATGATGCACAGTTTTAAATGGCTGCTCTCTAAAAAATATGTTCCAGGGGCTTACTAAACAGATTAGAAACAATAAAAAAAAGCAGAAAGAAAATCATTTTAACTTTACAAACTGTTCAAATAATATCTCCACTACTTAAAAGTTATAAATAAGCACAACCACAGTACAAAATATTTTGGTAAATGTTTGGTATTTAAAATCTCTGAGTGCAAATTGCTGCTCTAAAAGCATGTATGACTCATTTCAAGGCACGTAAATAAATTAAAGCTGGGTCAAACTAGATTCCCTGAATTTTGTATTTCTAATTGAGCTGTTTTTCATACTTAAAAGGCAAGTGCAGTATCTAAAGTAAAAGGGAAGTCATTAGTTGCTCACAAAACTCTTATTTCTCTCCAAAATATTTACTAGAGAAACAACATTAGTGCAAATGCTGACAACAAATACACTGGCCGCCAGAATAAAAAAAGACGTTACCATGATATTACCATGACCCCACACACTCCATTATGACAACATACAGTACACCTGCACTGTTTGCCTAGCTTATATATTCACCAATCAGATGCAGACTCATTTCACACCTCTTGAAGACTTGTCTCTGTTTGCCTTGGATTTATGGACTTTAAACTTGCATTCTAACCCTATGACTATGACTTTCATTCCCAAAATTATTAGTATGTTTCTAATTAGGCTATACCACTACTTTATTGCCAGAGAGTTTCAGTTAACCATTAGCCTGGTTAAAACCAGACCATTCTCAGTTGTAACTGAGTTATGGTCTGGCAAAGCGTCATAGACAAATCATTTCCAGAGGGGCGTCACCAACGGACGTCGCCGATAGACCTAAAACCAATCAGAGCGATGAAGGAGATGACGTATGCAGAGCGGCGGAGAATCTCCGAGTGTTGTTCTTTGCTCGAAACGTTCAAATCGCTTAAAACAGACGCGACAGCTGATTCGAACGAGTGATGTTCGACGGCGGCATCCATCTTTGTAATGTAGGCTACAAAATCTGCTTCAAAATCCCAGCGCTGTCGTCATCGTGTAAAGCCCGCCCCAACGTTTCTGATTGGTGCCGCGATTTCTACGGATTGGAAATGGGTTTGAATGAGCTCTTTGCCAGAATAACTTTCAGGGCAAATCTAAATTTGCCGGAAGTTGTCTGGGTTTTCCCAGGCTAGTTAACCATTACCCTGAATTCTTGTTTCGTCGACTTGACCTGTCTTATTTCAACTTTAATTGGTTTACCTGTAAAAACAACAACAACAAAAAAAACTTTTGTACAAACATTAATGAAACAAATATTTTGTTCCATTACTTTCTTTCTAGATTCTGAAACAAACGCCCCTGAGAGACTGTCACAGTAGCACACGCCGCTGCTGCTTCCTTCCTTTTTACTATCAGTAAGTTTTGCATTGTGAAGTCCGACTCCATGTTGATTGCGGATCACACCATTTCCCCTTTCCCAAAGGTCATTGCTTCCCATCTGTAAAATGGTAGGCTAGACTAGCAAATAAAATATATTCTAACATATTTTGAAACATGTTTCAAACATCAAGTTGTTTCAATAAAAAACCTGTTTTGAGTCCTGACTTCCAGTCGTCCTCTGGGGTTTATGTGACTGGAAACGTTGGTGATAAACCTGCTGGTGTTTTTTTCTCAGAACAAAAAGCCTCGACCCCGCGAGTTATAGAGTTTAGCTCTCTGACTCTTTTCTCATTAATCTTCCTAGCCTGATGTTAGAAACCACAAAGGCTGAACCATTTTTGAATGTTATTAGAGGAACAAAAACAATAACTTAGTAATGGCCTGAAGAAATTCTTCTGGTGAACATTAGGTAAATAGTGCACTTCATAATGATATCCCCTAGTTCTCAAAGTGTCTTCAGATCCATCTGAAACGTGTGTCGGAAAGAAGATCCCAGGGTTTGCGTCATATTCTGACCCCATGCGGTCTCTTTCCAGCTGTCATTGTGGCTTGTCATTTTAATTCTCAAAAAGGTCGAGTCCACTTTGAATGAGTTTCTCAGCTGAACTGATGGCACTGGACACCAGAGTAAGGGACTGGTTGACGCTGTTGTGCCAAGGGACCTCCAGGGCGTCCTTCAGGATAGAGAAGCGTGGAGCTTGTCTGCTCAAGCAATACAGAATGTTCCTGAGAGAGAGAGAGAGAGAGAGAGAGAGAGAGAGAGAGAGAGAGAGAGAGAGAGAGAGAGAGAGAGAGAGAGAGAGAGAGAGAGAGAGCAGGGTTAAGGCAAGGTTTTTCGAACTTTTAACATCCACAAATGGTTCATATACCTATTTCTCCTAAGGCGAGTGATAGCTCTTTGTTAGAGGCATTTATACAGAAGACTTGTCTTTTAAGCCTTAAGTATACTTCGGTTTTTACGCGAGTATGTGCATGAGCACTGCCGAATTTTCTGTAACCGTGCTTACTTTGTACGCACAGGTTGCCAGCGCATTGAATTTGTGTTGCATTAGTCCATTGTTCCACAAGGTGGCAACACTGGCCCTGGGCCGTTGCTTCACAGTTTAAACTAAAAATCAAGCTTCGCGTCACATTCAGCGTCACGTCAGTCAAGCTCGTCACGTCAGTCAAGCTCGCATCAGCTGACTCTCAGCTGATCCACGTCTACCTATAGGAATACAATGCCTATCACAGCATCCCATATATAAGGTCCATTCAGTACTGTAAGCAGCTTTATCACATTGATTACCCTCCCCCATCCCCAGCTCCTCCTTTCGTCCAATGATTTTATACTTCGCTTGTCTGAAGTATAAAATCATTGGTTACCCGTAAGCCAATCACAACGTTTGGTTATGACGTGTGTTATTTTCCAGCTCAGCCTTATCGAACTTCCACTGTAAACATGTATGATACGAAACCGAAACCATCGAGCGAAATACCGGAGTGAACATGGCTGACCGAGTTTTGCTGCCTCCTTAACCTTATCCTCCACCATGAGTGCAACCAAGGGGGACACAATCACAACTATCGCCTTGCCGGCCTTTGGCCTCCCCAGTTTCTCGCTGACGATCGGTAATAGTTCATAAATTGAACTTTTCCCAAAACCTGTCGGGAGTAGGGCCACAATATCACCTCAATTCAAAATGTTTAACAAACACTCTTCTTATTCGGGCTTCAGTTTGCAAATGCCGGGAATATTCTCCACAACAGAGCGAATTGCATCCCGTGTCTCCATATCCGCGGTCGTTTTCGATTTTCCCTAACCTAAAATACAATCTTAAACTCTGTGCTTAGCGTCTATGTCACGGCTCAGCCCGCCCTCTGTTCGTTGATTGGCCGGCTGTTTTCAGGCCGGAGGAAAACTGAGAGACTTGTCGATGTCTCAGACTGAGTACAGAAGCGAACTGAAATAGAGCGGAAGTACAAAGTCTGACGCAGTCAGGCTAGTTCTGTTTACCCTAAGGGGGATTTTCTCTCTTCTCCCTGCTCTTATCCATGCTAAGCTGCATGGATAGGCAGGGAGTTCTTGCCTAGAACCAAACCATAACACCAATCCAAACTGTATGCTAATTGTCAATCATCTTGATGATAATGGTCTTGACAGAACTAAAGAGACGGAACAACAACAACAGACGCCCGCATTAACAAGCACTTGTGTGAGGGGGGTTATGAGATAGCCGTAACTTTAGTTCAAAAGAATACAAAGACATTTGAATCGGTCATAACTTCTGGAGAAAGATATCACAGACAAACTGAACAAAGATGAAAACTTTCCATAGCGCATGTATCGACCGCCTCCGTTCGTTCGTGCATGCTATCAACTGGAGTAGGCCTATACTTTGCCTATACGCATACCGGTATGCTGGGTACATGTAAAAAAAAAAATATATATATATATACGTTGGGCTTTAACTGACTGTCTTCAAATGGAACACAAAGTTATAATACAAATGATTGAAATTCATATGACATTATAAATACAATAATATAAAATAATACATTAAAATAAAGCAAAATAATAATAGTTTAAATACAAAATGAAATAAATTTAAATATACAAAATCTAATTCAAATAAAAACATTAACAATAAATAAATTAAATTAATAGTATACATAAAAAAACAAAATAAAAAAATGGTAATAATAAAAATAAATAAAAATAATAGCAATAATACAAAATTCAAATAAAACAAATCAAATTCAAATAAAACAAAAATCACAGTATAAAAGTAAATAAATTAAAACAATAACAGTATTAATAACAATAAATACAAGTATTAGTCAATTATTATAAATACTGATAATAATACAAAAATAAATAAATTAAAATAATATTATAATATTAATAAATACAAATAATTAATATAGAAAATGAATAATAAATTAAATAAACCACACAAAATAATAATAGCAATAATACAAAATTAATTGAATTGAAATAAAAACAAAAATGTATGCTTCAAAAGTCACAATGTGCATGTTAAAAATGCTCAAACATTTTGAATTGTTGAATCATGAGTTTTATATCGGCACAAAATTACTTCGCTATTTGTGCTCTTTATTTATTTGCAACAGATCTCTGAGGGTCGGTGAACGCCAGTTTAAAAAATGCTGCTTTAGGAAGCTCTTCTGAGGATGAAGATGAGGATGTACCTACGAGCACACGTTCAGGTATAACAGAGAGCATAATATACATCACAAAATCAATACCAATGTGTCTTAAAACAACCTTGGAAAACCTTGGAGCAACCGCACATGTTTTCAACTGTAATCTGCAGAGAAATCACCTGCATGAACTCCTGCATAACAATCATGACAATCAAAAGACTTTGGGCCATTTCCTTCACAGTTCAGGGTCACACATTGATTTCTGTTTTTGGAGTGTTTTAACCTGCTTCACACATCTAACCTTAATAAATGAAGCAATTCTTTATCTGTAAACAGGTCAACTAAAGTTGGGAATGAGTCTCTGACCTTCAGAGACCAAAGCCTATATGAAATCCTTCTCATGAACTCTATCTTGGTAACTGAAAGGTAGAAATCACATGAGAACAGAGCTCGTTCTCATTTCACCAATTGATAAATGTAGAGCTGCCATAAATATGTTAGCTTATTGTTTGTTATCATTTTAGCAGAATTATGAAGCTTTAAAAAGACAGTACAGTGAAAGGCATTGGAGCCTTTCATCTGTGTGATATATCTAAAGTGAAAGACTGAAATGTCCAAATCTCAAGCACTTTCTCTTTCTTCCCAAAGGAAATGGTTATCCCTTTTTTAGTTTGGCCTGTGAGTCATATCACTCAGAAAGTGACTCTCCATCATTCTTATATGAATGTTCTGGGTTCAATACAAGTTAAGCTCAGCATTGAAAGTTGATTACCAAATGACATTTTGAATCCCTCCCTCCCTCCCTAACTCACTCACTCACTCACTCACTCACTCACTCACTCACTCACTCACTCACTCACTCACTCACTCACTCACTCACTCACTCACTCCCACAATGCATTTTGCTGTCCAAAGCCACGCCCAGTCTGCTATGGATACGCTTGACCGGCGTCATCTAGCGCCTTGCTTTAGCAGGAAATACTCTTTAGCAAACTTTTAGTCATGATGCCGTCGACTTGTATTGTTGGCGGGTGCAAGTGTTCAAAGAGTAAATGTTTAGGGGGAGTGAGTTATTTTCAGTTTCCAGTAAACGATCTAGCGCGAACATAAGAAAAATAGGTGAAGTTACACCATAAAGTGGGTTAAAAAAGAACTCTAAAATGTATTGCATTAAATATGAGTTAATTAGCTGTATGTTTTAATGGACATTTTTTAATCTTTGGTAATTCTTGGTAACTTTTGCTAATTTGTCTTTTGCTATTTTAGATGGTGATGATGGATTCGTTAATATCGCAAGACACTTCTCGCAAGTCTCGTCTAATCATGATTAAGCAATCAGTAATTGAGTCGTGTCTGTGATGAGAAGCTACACCTGGGAACTTTGTGTGGTAGTTATATTTAAGAAGGCAAACGTCTGCTTTGTATGTGCTGTGTTGCATGCTTCATTTCACAAGGGACTACTGTTTTATGTAAACAGCTGCAAGTTACATCTCCTCCCTCCTTTGTTCCATGACTTCCATCCATCCAAGTTACCGGGTTTACAGGTTTTATGACTTTACGTTGTAATGGCAATGAAGTTAAAACACTTTTACCAAAAGCACGACTTCCACAATCCTGATCTTTAGATGCAACAAAAGACTTGTTAAACTAATGGTCCACACTATTAAGTTGTGCAGGTTGTTAAATCATGTTCAAGTCTGGTCCTTTTTTACGATTTCAGTCATATCCTCTTTACACCAACTTTTGCTGGAGGTATTTTTATAGATCTCTCCACGAAATCTTTGATATTGATCTGGGGTCCCGGGTAACACCACCTACTTTGTTTTTAATGGAGAAAGAGTTCTCCAACAAATCGAGTTTAGCGTACAAAGCAGAGTGTCCCGCATATCATCTATTATAACCTTTATGTTACCAGGAAAAAAAGCACAATGAGATTAAGAATCTCTTTTACAAGAGCGTCCAGGCCAAGACTGACAGACACAGCTTGTTTGAGTTTAACAGATAACATCCATCAATACATACACATATACACGATCATATACATAGAGATCAGATGTGCTCCTAGTCACATTCAAATCCAGACTCAAAACACATCTGTTTAGCTGTGCATTTACTGAACGAGTACTGTGCCACTGTGCGTCCGACTGATTACACTGTGTTTTATTTCTGCATCCTCGTTTTGATTCTAAACTCAAATGGCACTGAGAATTGGGTAAGAGAGAAACATAAATTACTTAATTGGAGAAATTGAGAGATGAAACAATGCTGATGACCTGGGTCTGTGGTGGAGTAGTGAGTTTGATGTGTCAATTAAAACTCGAGGTTCTGTGGGGTGCGGACTGGATCGACTCCATTCCTAGAGCTTCCGAACAAATGGGTTTTTTGGGGTGCGGATTGATGGGGCAGTGAACCCAAGGTTACCCCGTGAGTCAGTCCTAGAGCTCCTCCTGTCCGATTTTAGGGAAAAATCGGGTCTATTGGAGAAATCAAATAGATTTTTTAGGCGCGTCGAAAGATAGCCACAGACACCGTACAATCCACATGGGATAATCTCACAGTTTAACAAGCAGCTGTACAAA